GTGTAGGGTTTTAGGGTTTTGGGGTTTAGGGTTTTAGGGTTTAGGGTTTAGGGCTTTAGGGTTTAGGGCTTTAAGGTTTTAGGGTTTAGAGTTTTAGGGTTTGGGGTTTTAGGGTTTAGGCTTTTAGGGCTTAGGGCTTAGGGTACCACGAAGTATATATAAAAAACAACGGTGCTTATGAATGACATACACGTAACAAGTGAGTATATCTATATATCTATAGATCTATATATATATATATATATTCAAATACCTATAATAAACTTGAGGTAATAGAAAACCATACTAAAGACAATGACTATACGTGCGTATGTGTGCGTAGAAATATAGATAGTCATTGTCATATAACTTCCACTTGTTCATTTGTTTGGTTGATGCTGTTTGCCTTCTGCGAGTTGAGGCTTTGGGGTCTAGAGCGTCTGGCAGGGCTCAGGCCACCTGGGCTTGTGAGGTTTAGGGTTTAGGGCTTAAGGGTGTCCAGAAAAAGCTCTAGATCGTCGTTTTTCATTGGACTTGCTGGCAACCCCGTTCCCTGAACCCAACTGTTTTGTAGGATTCCAAGCCAAACCTTAAGGCTGAGGGACTCCAAGCTAAACCTTAAGGCTGAGGGACTTACATGACGATAGAGCGGTCTTGAGGAGTTAGCCTTAGAAGGGTTTTAAGCGGGTTTAAGGTTGAGAGAACGGTTGGTTCGGATCTTTAGGGTTAGGACTTCGCCTCGTGCAAGCACTCGCCGCTGATGCGAAGCTGATCTCGTCCTCAGGTGCTGAAAGTCTCTGTGCCCGAAGTCCGACTCGGAAGTTTAAGGTTTAGGGTTTAGGGTTTAGGGCTCACAGAACTTTATGCCCAAAGCCCGAACATACAGGACATAGATAAGCACTGATTTGTAGAGTACGGATTGCGAGGTTTCATGCCGAATTGCGAAGCAGACAACACACTAATGCGACAAAGCATTCAGGCACCTGAATTGGAGTGCTTACGCGAAGGTCTTCGTGGCGATTCTGATGGCTCTCTTCGAATACCAGGCTTGAGCGGCCGCTTCTGTATATGACAAGTACTGCAACCAACAACAGTGCAAACATAGGCAACACATATTCAGCGACTTCGCTGATGTTATCGAAACATACCGTCGCAGCTATTCCTACTTGAAAAATTGCTGCAAGTACCCCCCCGCCCCCAAACCACGGATTGGGGTGTAGGTCGGCGCCGTATCATCAGCGCCGAGGCTTGGGCATGGGGCATGGGGGGCCTGGTTCAATTTGGCACCCAGCTGACACATGGCATGGGCCATAGGACAGGGTTTGAGGTTTAGGAATACTTTGGGCTCCTTTCTAAATACTTAGAACATTTGAGGTTTAGGAATACTTTGGGCTCCTAAATACTTAGAACAAGATAATGTTCTCATGTGCTCATACAGGGCACAGTATGTTTCTCCTGCTGCACAGAGTCTCCGGCAAAGCCCTCTGAATCCCAAATAAACGGTTTGGGCTTTCATCGTCCCCAAAGCACATTCTCAACAAAGTAAGAACCACCAAAAGCTAAAGCCCAGGAGCCCGCTGTCAAACAAAGACCCTTTTTCACACCAGTAAGAGGGACGACTACGGTCATCGAAGCAAGGGGTATCTCCGACTAGAATTTGCCATGGGGTCTACAGTCCGTAAAAACTGCTCCTTGCGACAGAAGGAGTTTTAGGAACGACTGAAACCGGAAATGGGTAATGCCAGACACGAAGCTGGAACCAACATTGATTCCTGATTCCATCTTGTTCCTCTTCTAACACATACACATAAAGCACAATAGTGTGGTGGTGTACAAGAACTTCGGCTGTTATGATGATGACACCCTGGAAACCACTTACCCACTGCAGCTGCGAGCAGCCAACTGCAGCCGGCAGCCCCTGGCCAGTCGCAAGAGGAGCCTCACTTGCACAATCATGAGCTCAACCCAGGGAGCCCTACGCAGTGTTTCAACTAAGGAACTTCGGAGTATACGTTAGTTTCTAGATGGGGTGAGTTCCTGAACCTGATAAAAAATATTATCCTCCATCAGGTGGTATTGAGGCTACGTTGAGGGTTTAGGGTTTAGGGTTTAGGGTTTAGGGTTCGCAGTCACTCCTTCTTGGGCTTGGGATTCAGGGAGTGTTCAGGGCTGCCCTGAATTTAGAGTTTGAGCATGTAAAGACATGCCCTAAGGGTCCATGTACCCACATAGTAGGACATTGGCCTTAATGTAGTCCCTATATGGGTACTTTAGGGCCAATGTTCTACTATTTGGGTACATGGACCCTTAGGGATGTACAAAACGATCACAATTCTCATGACATCAACTATCATGAGCGCTCACTGTTCCATGCACACGATATGTAGGCAGGTATACAGATACATGGGTCGAAGACAGAGACATAATGATACTTATAGATAGACTGGTAGGATGAACATCGATGGATGGATAGATAGATAGATAGGTAGGTAGGTAGGTCGGCAGACAGAGAGATAGATAGACAGATAGATAGACACACAGACAGGCAGACGTCGATAGACAGATACCTAGACAAGCTAAGATAGGACAGATCGGACAGACGGAGTAAAAGAAACACCAGGAGACCAGGAGAGCTTGGATAGAAATCTGTCCATCAATGTATGTAAAATGTAGGCGGCTATCTCGCTGGATAGGCGGGTCGGCAGATACGCAGCTAGCTTTCTGGATAAGCAGATAGATAGATAGATAGTTGGATCGACAGCTCGATAGTTTTCGAAGATCGCTCGATAAAATCCGTATGGTTTTGCACTGATATGTAGCTCAACTGATGGATAGATAGATCGATCTGTTGGATCGAACGACCGAGAGAAAGATTTTTGGAAACATACGCAGACAGATAGATTGTTTGATAGACAGATAGGCAGATAGGTAGATACAGAGATGGACAGCTAGATGGATATATATATATATATATGTATATAGATAGAGCTGTCAGATAAGTAGACAGTCCATAAGTCGCTAGATCGACATGATAGGTAGGTAGGCATATACATGGATAGTTAGCCGGAATCGATCGATAGATGGAAACGGGAAGGATGTGGAGGTAGACGGTGAGATAACCGATGGACAGGTTTTTCTCAGATAGAAAAGATAGGTAGAGGGTTTAGGGTTTAGGGAGAGGTAGCTAGATAGGAAGATAAATAAATAGACAGATAGCTGGGTAAATGTCTGGATGGATAGATGGGCAGGTGGTCGATAGACAGATAGATAGCAACATAGGTATGAAAATGGAGCTAGGACCAGCATGGAACAGCTTAGGTAGATGCATAGTTTGCTTGTGCTCCAGCAGGCTCAACCCCCTCAGCGCTTTAACTTTTGGACACATCTTTATGAAAGGGGTATCGAACCAACTGTAGGTTTACTCTGGTCAATCCAAAGTAACGTACGTCTGCCCATGCTGCAGCTCCATCCCCAACCGTACGAAAATTAACAGCCCTGTGTGCAAGGCCCAACACAACCCTGAGAGAAAACAATATATCTGAACCCGACTCTGAAAACGGTCAGATAAGATAAACAAACAGTAAGTAATGGATTCCAAGTTCTAACGCAGATTATCTTGCATAATCTCCACAAACAGGCACAAACGGCATATCAGACACATAGCAAGGATAAACAAAACACAACCCCCAGACCTGAACACTCCTTACGCCCAAAACCCTGTAGAGACCAGATAATGGCAATAATCCGCTTTAAAAAACTGTTGAAAGATGTTGAGGGGAACCCTTTACTTCAAACCCTACAGCCGGAACTCCAAAGTGATAACACCTTTCAACAAGAAGAGACCTCTATTTAGGGTTGCAGGTCTAGGGTTTAGGGTGTAGGCTGCTACCCTGAATGCTAACCCAAAACCAATTAACAACTATATCTACCCTAGCCCTGTCCCCTAAACCCTAAACCCCTAAACACGTAACCCC